CCATATACTGTCTTCCAGGACATTTTAAAGCCTGTTGTTCTGACTGAAAAACATGGGGGTGGGCAGCTTAATATTATTGAAACCATTTCTCTACTACTTATTCATATATTTTTATAAACCGTCGCAAACACAAAAACTGGGAGGTTCCTTTTTTTACTCTGAACCTTTCAGCATTCAGCGACTACACGTATTTGCATAGCCATTTTCAGTTACGTAACATCAGACGTGGCTGCACATTTTTGTTGTGACCAGATGTACCATAGGTAAGTGTCGTTTGGAGGACAAGTCCTTACGCTTTTCACCAAGAGTTCTTTGATGAGATGCAAAGTGTCATCCTGTGTGAATTGCAAAGACGGGAGACGTTCCACACAACGACTTCAAGGTTTGAAAGCTTCACGCACGATTAAGATTGTTGCGTTGTAGTGTAGCGTGAACGTTGACGATAGAGTTTAAAATGATCCTCGTGCAGGAGTTTGGCTCTTATTTTTATGGGATGCATCTGGGAAAGCAATAGTGATTAAATTTTTTAAATTAATATTACGATTACGATAATAATCACAGTTGTCACAATTAACTAATTTCCTGCATTGATTTGTGAATGACATTTTTAAAAATTAATCACTTACTTACTTTCGCAGGCATTTTCCATTTGAATAATTCCATCATCTGTATCAGTCTACAGTATACAGTACATTAAAAAAGTTTGTCATCATATTTGGGAATGTGGATTTATCACAATTACTTATTACTGATTTTAAACTGTAATCATCTTAGGGAACTAAAAATTATAAGATAAATCTAAACTTTAAAAGGGCCATAATTACAAAATCAAGAAACCATGGCTGTGGCACTCTCAAAGATACAGTATGGATTTCAGGTTAGGCTCACTTTGACAGCGGTGAGAGAATTCCATTTCATGTGACACACTATTGAGAGGGAAAATAGACTGAAAATATTGGACAAAATATCACACGCACCCCAAAAAAACGTCTTCCATGGTCCTGTAGATTGATCTAAGAGACACCAGTGAACCATCTTTTGTTGCCAATGACAGTGTTCTGGAGCTCTCAGTGTGAAGCTGTTCTCTCACCTCTGTGACTGGAACAAGCACACTCTGTGGGTAGATACAAAGCTTTATAAAAAAAAACTCCATGAATTCTAACATACAGTATGTTTCACGCCTCCATTATAAGAAGTACTATAGGGCTGAAACGGTACCTAGAGAAAAAGGCCCAGGGTTGCTGCTACGCTACTGCACAGTAGAAAGCAATCTCCACTGCAAACGAGCTGGCGGTAATCACTCGTGTCCCAGTGCTCCTGCAAACACACACATTAAACAAACGTTAACCACTGTTCACATCCTCAGCAGACGACGCTTAACACAAAACAAACCAATAATACCTCGGTAACTCAGTGCAGAAGAATACAATAAGCTGATAAATCGCAACTGGTTACATAATTTTATTTATTCATTTATTTTTTTTACATGAACTAATTCATAATCAAAACAGGTTAGAAAAATGACAATGCAGAAAAAAAAACCAACCCAATTGACTACAGTGACACCAAAGTCCAAAAGACACTGTCTGGCATCATGGCTGCAGCGTATATTCACACCAGCAGCCACAGACCGGGCTTACCCAGGTGCATCACACGCCTGATTCTAATCAGTGGGTGGCGAGAAAGTCAGTTGAAGCAAGTGACCCTCACTACAGATTAAAATGCAGTATATTATATATTCTGTGTAGTATTGGGATGAAAGCAAGATACCTTCATCTTTAGTGATAAATCTGTACATTACAATATAAAAATATTATAGGAGAAACAAGTGTTTTTGTGTAGAAGTCTGTCAACGAGGCTCACCGTTGTCAAGCTTTGGTTTTAAAGCCTCCAACTTTGTATAATAATAAAAACAAAAACAAAAAAACAAAACCCTCCAAGAATTCATGCAGCTCTTGTTAAATGGTGTGAGGCTTCACGTAGACTCCATACCTTTTTTTATACTCATTTTTGTGAACTGTAGCGAAATTGAAATGAAATGCGCATAGAACACGGTTGCAATGAGACAGCAAGCAATTCAAAGTACATCGACACTCGAACATATCTCTGTACTGCTCCATATTCATCCGGTAAAAAATACATTTAATACAATGTCACAGTGTATTTTTCCTCCATTTTTGCATGTTGTTTGGTTGCTATTCCTATAGCATTTAGAAATAAATAGCAAATGGGGAAATAAAAAGTTATTATCTATGCACATACTGGACATAACAGAACAAATATTTTGCAGTAATTGCCTCATTGTCTGAAACGCGGTTCTGAAACTCCTGTGTAGTTGAGAGTTTTACTGCTGGCCATAGCAATAAAACACACATCCTGCAATTTCCTTCCCACTCCCGGGGTTTTGATGACCCATGTTTATCTGCTAACTTCCACAGGCTGTGACATTAAAATGTATTATTAAAACGACATAAAAAAATAGAAGCATCTGATTATTGTTTTTATTACTGTTTCATGGTGTTTCTGTAACTTTGGTCAATTTCCACTTAGGAAAAATAGTCAACACTTGCTTTTGCACAATTACAACCAATGTTGATGTTCTGAAATAGACTCCAGAAAATAATGAAGATCAATACCTAACTGGGTGTCAGTTTTCGTATTTTGGGCCATCAAAAACTTCTGAGCGTCAAAACAGGATATCACATGAGGTTTTGAACTTTACAGTGAAAAAAAAGGTGTTGTTTACTAGAAAGTGAGTGTAGCAGTAAAGAAGACAAATGTTCAGACCAGTGGCCACCACTGGGAGCATTGACCAACCACAGTTAACTGTGAGGGAACAGATGGGAATGGAATCTAGTCCTGCCGACATACATAAATCACGCACTTACACTTTATCACCGGTTCTAGCAGTTATGAAGTGTGACCGAACTAATGTTGTGTCCTGTCCTGAATCAGAAAAAACACAACACGCAGATGTTGGGACGTGGCCTGGAAAGGCACCTCAAATGCATATGTGAAAGGTACTGATGAATTTAAAATAAAAACAACTAAATAACAACGTTGTGATAAGTGTGGTAAAGATAAAGGCCAGTAACCGTTCGAGAATGTTCTGTGAAAAGCACATTCTGTAAAGTTTACCAAAGAAATATTTTAAAACTACACAATAACTGTAACCCGCCCCCATTCACAATTTAAGCCATTCATAATTTAAGATACCGTTGCAGTCGTTTAAAAGTTCTTAGTAAAATGGTGACCCCTGTTGATCAGAGTTTGAATATCAACCAACAAATGATGCACATTAAAACTCATTAAATCGTTCCAAAACGAGAAACAGACTAATTATGTTTTGCAATTGGCCCGCACAGATTTAACTATTCGAACTCATGCATATTTTGTGTTAGCGGGGATTAGAGACGTTTCTTTGCGTTTCATTACTTTCCTCCGGAATTCTTAGCTAACTGGTGACATCTGCTGGTTACAAAATGAAACATTGAATCTTCAATTGCCAATCGTTTTGTTTCCGTATAGTACATTTGTACGAGTAATTCCAATTGTCCAGAAGAACTGTTTATGTTAAAGATCTTAGCCTGGCCATGTGAGGAAATGTGTTACGAGATATCGACGTTTACTTATTGGTTCATTAACGCAGGGCTGTTTATAGTTTCAGCATTCAAGTGAACAGTGTTTTTCTGTAATTTGTTTTCTACAGAAGTCAATTTATTTATTTAGTATCTCAATTGCAGTATCTCAAGTCATTACACCTGCAAACGGGACAGTATAACGTACAGTATAACTGTGAAACGGCTAGCTGATATCCCCATTTCTATAGCACTATGCTATACAGTAAACCCTTGTTTTTCGCGGGGTTTACGTTCCAAAAAGAACCCGTGATAGGCAAAATCCGTGAAGTAGAAATCTTTATTTTTTTTACAATTAAATACTCAGAAAAAGAAGAGAAAGAACGAACAAACCATTTTACAGTCTCAACCATTTGTTTCACAAACGAACGGAAGATTCATTAATTCCATAATGCCGACCTACAGCCGCATAGCTTTTACCTTCATTTAGCATGTCCAATAGTTTTACTTTATCACCGATAGACAGCATCTTCCGCTGCCTTTTGGTCCCTACCGCAGGTACTTTTGCCGGTCCAGAGCGTTTTGTCGACATTATGGGGTTTGATAAACTCGAAATTGCAAGAGAATTTGCACGTACGTAATGTCAATTTGGCAAGCTGTTTTACGTACGTGTACATATTAAACCGCAACGTTATTGGCGCACAGGTAGAGAAGAAGCGGAGTGACTTTTTAGCCAATCAGAATGCAGAACACAATGCACGATGCAAATCCGTGAAGTAGCGAAACCGTGAAAAGTAAACCGCGTTATAGCAAGGGATCACTGTACTTTATTCTTTTACCTTGTACTGTACTTAAGCTGCCGTCAACACTTTACTTTTCCTTATTGTGGGACGAGTAAAGTTTTGGTTATAAACTGTGGACGGTTAAAACATCTTTCTTCTGTTGTTAGACAGACATTCAAGAAAAACAACCAAAGAATAAGTACTGTATATATGTCAAATAAGTCAACGTTTTTAAGAAGGATTCAACAAAAAATAAGTAGTTGAACCGCATATTCTGATTCCAGACCGCTGCACACAACTATTGGGAAACCTTTCTGGTAATATTTAAAATTTGCTGTAATAACATATTGGAGAAAAAAAAAAAAAGGTCTTGTTTATTTACAAGGAACTTCCTAATTTTAACATTTGCCTGAATGTACTATTTTTTTTTCCTAACTCACAACACCTGCCCGATCAGTAATCAGCCTTTTCTCTACAGTATTGTTAGACAGCAGGGACTGTTCACAGCAACACCTGTTAGTCATGAAGACTCTCTGCAGGAAACCAGTGACAGACTGGTCCACTTGTTGAGAATGAACAGTGATTTGTAAAGATAATTATCCCATTTCAGATGTGAAATGGGAGAAAACACACAAAGAAATCTGTTCTCCAGGAAACATTTATTTGATCAAGAGACAGGATCGCATTTTTCCATCATAAACAAGTTAGTTAAATATTAACAAATTTACAGTCATGAGGAATGTAAAAAAAAAAAAAAAAAACCTCCTTAAAAAAAAAACCCAACCCTGGGACCCCACCCATAACCACAGTGGCACCAAAACAAGACCCTGGTCCTGCTGGAGCGCCATTATTTATGACGTTTCATTCAGTGCTTCACAGTTCATCTTTTTTTGTCTGCAAATAGAGAAAAAGGTAAAAATTATTATATTAATCAATTGTAAAATTTGCCACATGATGAAAGCTTTTTTTTTTTTAATATGTTCTCACCGATTCTTCATCTACATCCTCATCTACAATTTCATCTTTGTCTTGTGAGTCATCATCTGCTGACTCCTCCTCTGCCCCATCCTCTGGCTCCTCCTCTGGCTCTTCCTCTGGCTCCTCCTCAGGCTCCTCCTCAACCTGTAACACAAGACAAATCATTTAAAAAAAAATCTCAACAAAACTAATATAAAACCACACAACTGCAAAAACTAAGTGTCATTGATTGCTTTGACCACAAATACATAAACAAGAGCAGGTGGACTTGCCTGTTCGTCCACAGGTATGTCCATGCTGAGACGGAGCATGCGCTCTATCCTGTCTGCGTAGTCCTTAGTGTCAGCCAGCTGGTAGCCTGAGCGAAGTGTGGCCGTCTCAAACAGAACCATGGCTAGATCAGAAGAAGTCTGGTCCTCTGGGTCAACCTGAAGAACACAATGATAAAAAATATTTTAATGACAATGGAGTGTATGTAAAAATGCATAGCGTAATGAGAATACAACATGTCACACACAAAATGCAGCAATGATGTATGTTACACTTACAGAGACTCTGTTGAGCATCTGCTTGATGAGAGGATGTTTAGGGTTGATTTCTAATGTTTTCTTCTGGCTGGCATAATAGCTGAGGAAGAAAGAAATTTCATTTATTTAATACATGTTCAAAGATAATTGGCTTATTGCTTGTTCAACGTTTGCAAATTACGGTAAAAATAATGATAAAACAATGTCCACTGACTTTGTGGAGATGTCTTTTCCTGTCTGGTAAGCCTGTGCCTTCATGATCCTCTCCATGTTTCCTGACCAGCCGTACTGACTGGCAACCAAAGCGCAGGGTGAGTTGGTGAGCCTCTGGGAGAGGACGGCCTTCTCAATCTGGAGAAGACACCCAGAAAAGATTTGTATCAGTAACACTGCCAGCTAAACACACAACCGTGTGGCTACAACTTCTCTTGTGTGTTCTCAAATGTACACAGGGATCAAATGTCTACCTTGTCTTTCAGTGCATTGTCCTTCAGCCATGTTGTCAGAGGTTCAAACTCCTTCTCCACGGCTTCCCTCTTTTCTTTGGCCTTGTCACTCTCGTCGAACTTGACACCCTCCTTCGCCACATTCTGGAATCGTTTCCCGTCAAACTCGGGCAGCGCCTGGATGCAGTACTCGTCCACGGGCTCTGTCAAGTAGATCACTTCATAGCCCTTCTTCAGCAGCTTCTCAACAAAAGGAGAAGACTCCGCCTGCACAGGAAAACACAAATGAGTTTGGTTTTTTTACACAACAGGGTGTAATCTAATCGGGTTTTTTTTGTTTTGTTTTTACACAACAGGGTGTAATCTAATCATATTCTGTCATTAACAGCCACCTACTAACCTCCTTCCTACTGGTTCCAGCCATGAAGTAGATCTTGTCCTGCTTCTCTTTCATGCGCTCCACATACTGCTCCAGGCTAGACACGTCTTTCTCGCTGTTGGAGGTCTGGAAACGCAGCAGTTTGGCCAGACGGGTCCTATTGGAGTGATCTTCAATGACGCCCAGCTTGATGTTGGTTCCAAACTCTTTCCAGAACTTGTCGTTGTACTGCTCCTCTGCAATCTTCTTGATCATGTCCAGAGTCTTGCGCACGAGCTTCTTGCGTATCACCTGAACGGACAAAACATTCACAATGACTTTGTTTTCTTCTTTTGTCAAGTCTGTTGAATTGAAATATTACTGTTTTGGTACAATTATAAAACAAACAACACGGTTGTGTTCATTACAATGATTACCTTAAGCAGTTTGTGCTGCTGCAGAGTTTCTCTGGAGACATTTAGTGGAAGGTCATCAGAGTCAACCTAGCAAAACATGTTGATATCCTTAACACTGATCCACAACAGGCTAGTACAGAATCTTTTAACAGTCAGAATTAGACGACACTCACCACTCCCTTGACAAAGTTCAAGTACTTGGGCATCATGTCGTTAAAGTCATCGGTGATGAAAACTCTTCTGACAAAAAGCTGTGACAGAGAGTGAGATTTATTAACAACTAAGCTCATGCTGTTCTTAATAAGGAGTATGGTAATTCTGCATTTGCTTCAGGTTGTAGTCTCAAGATTGGCTTTTGCTGAATACACACCTTGATGAAGTCGTTCTTCTTTGAGCCATATTCGTCAAAGAGGCCACGCGGAGCTGAGGTGGGCACAAAAAGGATGGACCTGAAGGTAACTTCACCCTCAGCTGTGAAGTGGATGTGGGCCAAGGGATCGTCGCTCTCCTGTCGGAGAAAAGAACATTTACTTTTTCTGCATCCAAAAGTCAGAGTCTCACATACACTGCAGCAACAATACGGATGCACTAACCTTAGAGAAAGTCTTATAAAACGCCTTGTATTCATCCTCCTCCACTTCCTTAGCCGGTCTTTGCCAGATGGGCTTGATGTCGTTCATCAGCTCCCAGTCCCACACAGTCTTCTCAACCTGAAACACAAGAAAAAAAACAAACAAGGTTTTGACAACAAATTTAAAAAAAAAAAAATTGTAATATTTTGTTGTATTTCTAATCTCTACTGTAATCCCTTCTTACCTTCTTTGTTTTTGGTTTGTCTTTGTCCTCCTCCTCCTCTTCCTCTACCTCAGCCTCATCTTCAGCGGTCTCCTTCTCTGGTTCCTCTGTGGCCTCAGCATCTTCATCGATTGGCTCCTCAACTGTCTCAGTCTGTGAAATTGAGGAAAAACTGTGGTAAATGCCATTCATTTTACCAACCTTGATGATTATCGATTTATATATATATACACAAAATTACCTTGCTGGCCCAAACGTAGATGGGGAAGTTAATAAACTGAGAGTATTTCCTGACAAGATTCTTAATGGTCTCCAGCTCCAGATAGTCTGAGGCCTCCTCTTTCAGAACCAGCCTGGGGATGGAACAAAAACATTAAACTATATATAATTAAACTATATAATTAAAGATTAAAGATTATGGTTCACATAATCCAACATCTAATACAATTAAAGCCATGGTTCACATAATCCAACATCTAATACAGGAGCAGCAGAATGCGATTAAAAGTGAATACACACGTGATGGTGGTTCCTCTGCCAAGCGTGTCCCCACGAGGATCCTCAATGACAGAGAACTGATTGGAGTCAGACTCCCAGATGTGCTGGGTGTCATTATTGTGCTTTGATGTCACAATGACTTTGTCAGCGACGAGGAAAGCAGAGTAGAAACCCACACCAAACTGTCCAATCAGCTCCGAGGTGGACTGTCCGTCAGTCTGCATCTCTGTCATCTTGTTCAAGAACTCGCTTGTGCCAGACTTGGCGATGGTTCCCAGGTTTTTCACCAGTTCTTCTTTGGTCATTCCAACACCGGTGTCAGTGATGTGAAGCATGTTCTTCTCTTTATCAGACTGCCAATCAAAGACATATTACCCGTGAGTAAAATGTATATACAAAGGATATGTAACAAACTATCGCACACAATATTAATCATTATCTTCATACCTTAATCTTGACTGTCAGCTCCTCATTTCCAGTTAGGACATCTTCGTTAGTCAAAGACAACAAGCGGATCTTGTCCAGAGCATCAGAGGCATTGGAGATCAGTTCCCTAAGGAAGATCTGCAAAACAAAAACAAACAGTTATTTCCATGTCACTGCAGGTCATACTAAAAACAGGTGATTAGGGAACACGGTACATCAGCTGGCTTTGAAAATGCGAAAAGCTCGACCCACCTCCTTGTTCTTGTAGAGGGAGTTGATAATAAGCTTCATCATTCGGTTAACCTCTGCCTGAAAGGCATGTTTCTCAGATTTTTCTCGGATTTCTTTAATCTGAGCTGCATTTAGCCCATCCAACTGAATGGCCTCCTCCTCTCTGAAAAGATACACATCAAGGTAAGATCGTCAGCAATAAAAATTGCTACCCCACTGAAAGGTTTAGACAGAAGTTGTAACGTCTCTATGAGACTCCTGCAGCAATAGATTTACCAGCACAGACTTCTAATATTACTTTGGGTTTTATGTACACGAGTATGGTCACATTGACCTTATTGTGTTTAAAAAAGGTTTCTGTGACCTTTCTGATGGTAGCGCACACACAGTTCACGCTGCATGTGTGATCTGAGGGAACGGTCAAGTAAACACCTACCTCTGCACCACCTCATCATCTGTTCTGGAGCCATCTCTGCTTTTCCCCACATCCTCCTCCACTGTCCCATCAATGTCAACTTCGTCATCTTCTGCCTTTACAGCAGCTGTAAAATAGTTAGAATTCTTATTACAGAACTGCTTCGTGTTGAGATCCACATGTTCACCCTAACCCCTGATGGTTTGTCATCACTTTCACCACCACTGGTTGAAAGTATCCCATACTGCTGCGTGTCAATAGTTACTTAAACAGAATATGCAAAGTGTACGTTTATAAAGAGTTCAAAGACTAATTAGAAGAAATATTTTCAACTCAACATAACGACCACTAATTGATTTTATTTTATTCAGATTTACTTCGATGTTAATCTTGATAAATATAGTCTGATGATTGAATGCGACTAAGTTACATTATGGTCATGTAACACCCTGCCATGATGCAGATTTAACTGATTCGTGAGCAAGAGGTAGGCGGATGGTTTAAAAAAAAAAAAAAAACACGAAGCAGTTTAATACAACATTTCGAATGGTACTCATCGTAAAACACGAACGATTTTTTTTTTTTTTTTAAGATGCAAGATAATCGGCGATAGCTGTCCTACCCATTGTGCTCTAATTGGAAACATCTAGAAAAACTAGTATGAATAATGAATGCAGGCAGTTATTGGTAAAATTGTAAAACCTAAGAATTATGTAGTATGTTGTCAGCTGCACACAACCACACGAAAACAAACGTGTTCTTTTCTGAGGCCACAAACAAGAAGTGCACAACTACACGTTAATGTTAGCATGCTGGCTAACCCTGTTAGTCTGTATATTATGTTAGTAAAATATTTACAAAGAAAGTGAGCGATTTACTGGATATTTTTGCAACTCACCAAAGGCTAAGAGAGTGAAAAGTAGGCCTATGAGCCAAAGTCGCTTCATTTCGGTGATGAATGAACGATGCTGGATCTCAGAGCTGCTCAGACAAAAGCCGGAGAGTGAGCACACGCACTGACTGACAGCCTGTGCCACCAAATGAGCCCACTCTCTTTAACCCGTGATAGGCAGCCAATGGCTGCGCACCACGCACAAATTTCCACCAATAACATCACGGCACACGGCAGGTGAAGTCCAATCACCATCTTCAACATAAGTCGATGCCCGAAAATCGTGGCCAGCCACTATTGGCCGAGCCGCAGTCATCCGCACCTCACTTCCGAAAATTACTCTTTACTCATTTGGTTTTCTACTTTCATGTCTTTGCTATCTTTAATGTATTTTTTCGTTTTCTTTAGTATTTAGGTGTCAATGTCTAGTATATTAGTTTTGCAATACAATACATTGACACATTGATACAAATATATTGATTTTTACTCCTATTTTATATTAGTCGATATGGATGAAGTGAAACGTCCCTCAATCTAATAATACTAAAGACAAGGAAAGTTCCTGATCATCTACGCCATTAGTGCGTGACATTATTTGTTATTCCATGTCTGTTGTGATTTAGCCTCTAGATATCAGTTATGAAAATAATAATTATACTTCACACAGTGTAGCCTGGAGCACTGTATACACACACACTTGCTGTATTTAAACTACCACCCACATTACCTAATTCTAATTTAATTATAATTCCCAAGAGTTCAGATGAAATTGTTCATTTAGAGACATCCCAAAGGCATGCAACATACCTCCGAAATTACTCACGTTGCCTCCAGTTTGACCATATACATATTTCTTGATGTACATATTGTCATAGATTGTGGCACAATATACTGTTTTTGGGAATCAATTATATTATGCACTAATAAAATTCACTGAAATACACGTTTCATATAAATATCAAGCATGCATTGTCTAATCAAAGAGACAAGAATAGCTGAAATTGTACGTGGACCAGACAGACTATGATATACATAAGATTATACAGTATAACATACAGTGAACTGAGAAATAATCACCTCCAAGACAACAAAAAAGTTGGAAATCTACTTTCCTTTTAAACATATTTAAACATTATGGAACCTTATTTCATTATCTAATCTAATTTAATCTAATTTCTTTAAATAAATTGTTTCTTCACAGATATTCAGCACTGGCTTCTCTTTTGACACTTACTAGTGCTATCATATACAACTACAGATGCTGTTTTGGCCATTTTGTTGTTTATCATCGTATCATCAAACGTTTTTACTGAATTTACAGAATTTGATTTATACAAAACAATGCACTCCAAAAATGACTAAACAAAGCTATTAAATTCTAACTTAGCACCATCTATAGGCTAAGAAAGGGAATATATACGTAGAATGTAAATGCATTTCCGGGACCCGGAAGGGGGCAGCAATGCATCGTTAAGCATGACAACTGCCGTTCATTTCTCAAAGAAGAAGAAAATGAATCCCTAAGACTTCCTGTTGAATCTGTTAACCAAACGTATGTAGTACTCTGCTGTTGAAATAGAAGCTGTCATAAACAGAACAGGGACATGTCGCCCTTGTCGGTTAAACTCAGGGAGTGTATGCAGAGGTCCAGTCGTCTCTGGAATGTTTTCTCATGCGGTCTACACCACGGATCGTCCTCGTCCTGCTTATGGAAACGTAATTTCGCTGCAGTCCACTGTAAAACCAGTCAACTCCTGGTATCGCAGCCGACCATAGTAGCCAACCATTCAGCATCTTTTCACCAGAGCTCTACACACTGTCAGGACCAGACTGAGAGGCTGTGGTCCGTTTATAATGAAACCAAAAGACAGACAGGAGGTAAGAACACGACCACTCATTCATTCATAAACAGGCAACACTGCCGCCATCTACGCTGTTGCTGATGCTCATCAACTCAGTTATGAGTAATAGTCACTCCCGTAAGTTTCACAAGAACGTATTCTCTATAAAAAAATGATCTGTTACCAGTGTTTAATTATACACTTGCTGTACGTACACTAATCTAAAAATGACGAGTGTTCTAGTAGTTTATTAAAAAAACCTAAATAAAAACGTGTTTTGTGGCCCTCTAGGTGAAATTCTAAGGTACTGTAAATTTAAGGTACTGCTTATCAGATTCATTATTGGTTCAGAATGTGTCAGCGTTAAATCAACATATTTGGCAATACAGCAAATAACAAAAATAATACTTTGGAATTTAAAATTTCCGACTTATTTCTGCATTTTAACAAAGAACCAGTAACTCAGTACAAAAACAAAAAGCTAAAACCCTAACGTTATGCTAATAAATCACTAAATTTTTATAAACTGTATTTCAAATATTTTCCATGTGATAGCTAAAGAAACACTGCACACATGTTTACCTCCTTAACAGTTAAAACAACTAGATTTTGATTTTTTTTTTGTCTCACTATAGTTTGTATCAGCACTTCACTGTTTAAAATACAAAATCAATATGTTTTAACTGACATGGCTGTTTGCTTTAAATTTCCTAATGTCCTCCAAAAGGAAATTAAGTAATCTCCAAATGTCCTCCAAAAGGAAATTAAGTAATGACACGTGTTTTTCCTTTCTCTAATTCAATACCAGTCATTTCAACATACTCGGTCAACCCAGACACCATATTTGCCAACAATGAGATGAGCCTGCAAGACATTGAGATCTATGGCTTTGACTATGACTACACCCTGGCCTTCTACTCCAGCCACCTCCACACCCTTATCTTCAATGTGGCCCGGGACATTCTCATCACAAACCACAGGGTGTGTTGCAATTGGTGTAAAATGTGCAAAATTTAACAGCATGTCTTGGTAAATTTTTTAAAATGAAAATCTCATTCAAACTTTTTTTTCATTAGTATCCTGAGGGTCTGCTAAAGTATGAGTACATACCAGATTTTGCTGTCAGGGGACTTCACTATGATGTACAAAAGGTGAGAAGGTGTTCGAAACCAGAATAGAAACAAATCACACCTTGTTACGTTTGGGTAAAAACTGCTGAGGTTATGTTGAAAGTAAAAAACGATTTTAATCCCTGAGGTGTATGACTGCCTTTACAATAGGCACTGCTGATGAAGATCGATGCTTTTCACTACATCCAGCTGGGAACTGTTTACAGGTACCACATCACTGTGCTGCACCGGGGGAGTGAGTTCATATTTCACACATTGCATTTTTAATGTGTGAATCTAGGGGGAAATGATTGAGATGTAGTAGAGATTTTTTTTAACTTTAAGTTCTATTTTGCAAGTCAGTGTTCCAGTGACAATAATGTTATTTTAATGAATAGAATGATGTCGATTTGTTGTGTCAGTGAGAATTTATTAACTCTTAGTGTGCAGATGTAAATATTGATAGCCGTCAAGGTTAGCTGCTGGACTGCTGGGACTCGTCGATCAATTATAAACAATCAGATCAGTCGCAGAGAAGCTGTGTAATGATCACGATTAAACATGATCAATCAAGGTAAATTATTATTCCAAAGAGTGTCAGAAACCTTTTTTCTGTATTCTTTTCAAAAAGACGAATCCAAATGATGGATTTATTGATATGAAGGAATAACTAAAATACCTAAGAATTGTAGTAACTATGTATTTGTTCTCATATGCTGGGTGTATTTTAGTTATTAGCCACTTTAATCATATAAATCTTCACTTTTTAGTTGGTTTACAACCATGAATAATATACTGTGTGCTGTAACTTTACCACACAACCGACCCTATAGAGCAGGGGTCACCAACGTGGCGCCAGGGGGCACGTGGTGTACAGTATGTTCTAAAAATAAAACTAGTCAACAAGAGGGTCAATAACTGTACTGTTTGAATCAGATACACTTGCAGTGATATTCAAATGAGTGTCGATGACGACGGTAGGAAGAGTGTCTGCTATTGTATATCCCAGAACTAATTATTATTACATTGTTTGGGAAATCTGTATCAAACTAATAGCTCTTCTTATTACTAAATGCAAAAAAAATAGCAAAAGTAGCTCTCATTTTTCAAAACGTTGGTGACCTCTGCTATGGAGACTAGAAACAAAAAATATTCTCTAAGCAACAGTTCTTTGGCTGAACACATCTTGTTGATACAAGACGTCAAAGTGAAAAAAAAAACATAAAAAAAAAAAATTGAAACAGATTAGCTACAACAGCCGTCAGGCTCACCAGAATTTGTTCAAGAAGTTCAAATCCAACTCCAACTGGTCGAAAAAACGAAAGGAGTTCCAACCAAATTGACTTTTTTTTTTTGTAAAGTTCTCTCATCGGGATCATTCTCGTTGCCCTGAACACACCACAAATGAAGAAATCGTGTAGAAAAGGGCCCATAAATGTGTGTCTCTGTTACAGGGGCCTTCATCCAGTTTCTGACGAGGAGGTCATAGCCATGTACGAAGGTTGTCACATTCCTCTGGAGATCATGAGTGACTTCTATGGCAAGGTGATTCGCACCGACACCTCTGACACTATACTTGTTTGTTTGTGCATCCGCAAATCCGTATAACACACACAATAAATGTCCTTTTCAGAGTTCCCACAGCCAGAGCATGAAACAGTTCATGGACATTTTCTCCCTGCCTGAGATGACCCTGTTGTCCTGCGTTAATGATTTTTTCATGAAGCACAATATTGACTACGAGCCGGTCCACCTCTACAAAGATGTGAAGGTGAATCCTCCCGCCGTTCACTCTTCTGCTCTTCATTAGCGTTGAGGGAAATAGTAAACAGAAAACTCATTATGCTCCTTTAAAATTACTGCAGCCGCACGTACGAGACAATAAGAATGGATTTGCTTGTTTTTTTTAACGTGTCTCTCGACACTTCAGCTATTCGCCGCTGTCTTAATTTTAGCTCCCTGTCTATTTTTAGTGAAGCCCGCAGGCCCCTGTTCTTTGGTGGCTGTGGTACTGTAAGGGGTGAGAAATCAGCACCGTGTTCTCAGTCGGAGGGCAGCTGTCAGGCTGGTCCTCTCTAGGCTACGCCACTCTGTCATTGTTGACAGATCGCTGCCATTAAAGGCCCCCTCACACACCTTCAGTGTATCGCGAGTGCATTTTCTACTTGCTCAAGGACACTCTCGCTCGCTCTCTCTTTCTTTTCATTCTGACAAACACCATTCATTATTTGGTTTTAACCCTTTTCTGTCTACATTTTTCAGTGTTTTTCCAGAGTGTCCTTCAAGTAATCTTTGGCCATAAAACTTCATTTTTAAATATCCTTCATTGCCAGTCGGTTAGAAATTAGCAGAAGCTCAGGAAGAAGACGCTGCAAGCGTGACGGAGAGTGTCTCTCTTTTTCGTCTCAGCAAAGTACCTTAACTCCAGGGTTTTGCTTTCCCGATGTTTAATTTGTATTCAGAAATGCAGGTCCTTTCTGCTTTGAAGTCAAGCATTTATATACAGAGTAAAGTGTTGCCTATGAGGGAGGAATGCTAACGTTGTGTCACTGAAGTCAAGACTTCCTGGCTGCGGGCTGTTTTCTTTGCCTCTCTTTATAGGAAGCCATTCGGGATGTTCACGTCAAGGGCATACTGTACCGAGCTGTGGAGGCAGACATCGGTAATGCTCTTTGATTTAGGTGGCTTGTTTTTTAAACAGAGCCTGATTTGGTTGCTGAGACATGACAAAAAAAAAGTGATTTTAAAATAATGATGCTATAATACCAACCTCTTTTACTCTTATCCCCCCTCCCCCCTCTCTTTTCTGTTTTTTTTTTTTTTTTTCCCCCCAGAGAAATACATTTGTTATGGAGAGCAAAGCCATGCTGTGCTTAAGAAGCTGGCAGAAAATGGGAAGAAAATGTTCCTCATTACCAACAGTCCCTTTGATTTTGTGTAAGTATTGAATGATCAAACCACAGACTGAAAATGAGCAATACACGCTGTACCAACACGGGATGTTAGGTGAAGCAGCACGTCATGGTTGAAATGTACGTGATGTGAGGTGAAGCAGCACGTCATGGTTGAAATCAGAGGATTGGCTTTTCAAATCCTGGCCCTGACAGGACTATGGTGTGCCGAGCCAACGCCAAAACCAACACTTTTTCCCATTTGTCTGAGTGATGTTCAAGGATTGTTTAAATGCAGGGAATTTGTTTTTATAGATTAGAAAATAACTGCAGGAGGGATGGTAAAAATAAACCAATCTTAATCTCCAAAGTTTAGTTGCCCGCGTGTCCCCTGGCAAGACAGTTTATCCACGATGCTTCTAACGGCGTTGGCAGCGTCAAGTACATGGGAATAAAAACCATGATGGGAGTGTGGGTTGGAGATAATGGATATTAATAAGTAAAATAAAATATAAATAGCATTGTGGAGTTCTCTAGAGTAGACTAAGGGCTATCTACTAATTGCATTGTATGACTTGGAACTATAAACGAGTCCAAGAACTAACGGAACCTATGGGTCGTCAATAATCCTCTATATAGAAAGGTTCGAAACCCCCTTCTTAAAGGTTCAACCGTGGGTCATAGTTCTAGTTGTTGTGTCCATTTCTGCCTTAGGGTTCGAACAACAACACGCGTCTTACGCTTTGCTGCATAATGTACACATGAATAAATAATGCCAGTGGATAACTTTCTCACGGAAGTGCATTCGATCACAAGGAACGCAGTCATCAATAAATCACAACAAACAGTGAGCGCTGTTACATCATTAAATCCCGAACGTTCATCCACTGCTGGAGTTTCGTCATCAGTCATTAAGTTACTGTAGGGGTGGTGCTTGCATCAGTGTTGCCCAGTGCTGAATGCCCTCGCGAAGGGCTTGAAGATGTCACTGACGAGGCGATATCCTGAATCTCCTGTCTTCCTCAGGGACCGAGGGATGAGCTACATTGTGGGAAAGGACTGGAGGGACCTGTTTGATGTCGTAATTGTTCAGGCTGACAAGCCCAGTTTCTTCAATGACAAGAGGAAGTAAGTGGTGGTCTGTGCCAAGCCTGTAATCGCTTCACATAATGCCTCTTATGTTCCACTAGAGGTCTCCCTGGACCACACACATTTGAGGCACCGTCAGACCGTCAACTCTGTTTATGAGCAGAACGTGTAAAGATTTTTTTTTTTTTTTTTTTTTTTGTACTTCTCCCTCAGACCTTTCAGACGAGTGACAGACAAAGGCTCACTGCTGTGGGATCGGATCCACAAGTTGGAAAAAGGGCAGATCTACAAACAGGTGTTGTGCCAGACACAGTGTTGGAGCTGCGGCACAAACCTTGACAATGAAAAGCATTGTTGTTTTATAACGTGTTGCTTGTCTGTCGTAGGGAAACCTTTACGAGTTCCTGAGACTCACAGGCTGGAGGGGATCCAAAGTGCTTTACTTCGGTGATCACATCTACAGTGACTTGGCAGTAAGTGGCACCCAGACAGGTGTACAACACAGGGTTTATTACAGATAAAGAAATAAGACTAGTCTTATTCAGTTTCAGTTCCCCTTCCCTCTGTACTCTGCTGGGGTTTTTACTGTTGTTACATTGTTACAAGGAAAATGTTCTTTCAGTTCTTACCCTTTTTTTTTGTTTTTTTCATGTCATGTTGAAAATCGTAGCTATTTTAAATTCCAAATGTGTTGTCCTAGCTCTCCGAGTACTTTAAGTAGTAAACCTAGGAGAACATTTGGTTCTCAGTGTTCCTGATTTTGTTCCATCCAAGAATGTTTTTTGGCTTTTTTTACAAGTGCTCACAATATCATGACCTACATCGTTTAACGTAAACTCTTTTGTGAATCGTTGCCTAAATATGTGACAGTATTTGTTGAAATGAGAACTGTTACTTCAGTGCCATCCCGGTCCATGTTTGTAGTTGGCTTTCAGGAAGTATGACTCACCCCTCAAGTCTCACAAGTCTGGAATAACTCCGAAAAACTCTGAAGTGACACCGTAGTCAACCGTGTCCCATAAAGGCCCCCTGGAGGGAGACAGTGGTTACTGTGCTGTCCTTGAACCTGTCCTTAGTTGAAAATCCTCTAAACTGTAATCCACATATTACCTTGTTGAATGAAGGGGGGAAAAAAAACACCAACTGAAACTGCAAAATTCTTAATTTGAAATTCTTCTGCAGCAGTGTCCACTAAGCTATCAATCTCTTATTGCATTGCACATGTCATAATATTTTGAGCGTGTAAGAGATGACAAGCACAGAATAACTTTGTGCCTTAGCCCCCCAAAAAAGTTCTCGGTATAAATACCTTTACTTCTGACCATCCAGAAGATAAGAATTCAAACAGCTGTGTGAAAAAACAAACGTGGTCTTTCTCTGCGACGCTGTGGTGCTGAGCTGCCACACAAACGTGGTCTTTCTCTGGGACGCTGTGGTGCTGAGCTGCCGTCAGGGTGGCTGCAGTTGTTTTATTTGACGGTCTGTGCACTGACTCTTACTCGCATTATGGTAACAAACCTTTTCTGCAGTACACACAAATGAATTGCATCAGCATCCATCTCGACAGCTCGGGTATTTCAGAGAACGTCCGATCAGCTGTAAATAGCGATAATGAAAGGGAGACTTTCAGCATTGGCAAAGTGCCTGGCCGGTGGCAGACGGCCAGCTGTCAGACCTATCATACCGCTTATTTAGAGAGATGGACCATGACATGTAAGATTTACTCCGGCAACGGCTAACATTCAGCATCACTGGCTCCAGAACCGGATCAATACTGAAAGTCAAGAGAGGGGAGAAGCATTTTGCTGCGTGCAGCAGCAGCAGCAGCAGGGATGGAGGGATGGAGCCATTTCTGAATGAATGTCCTGTTTTTTTTTGTTTTTTTTTGTGATCTGTTTTGGTTCTCATATCCTGTGTTTGTCTGATGATACAGATGTGTTTTGGTTTAATGATGCTGGTGCTGTGTCTGTTTCCCATTAAATGGGCAACTCTTTACTATGGATTGGGGCGCATAATTGTAGCCGGGGGGATTAAAGCTCTATTTTCTTCCATCTCATGTGTGCAGCTTAATTGACCATATGTTAAGATGTAAACACTGTGTACCACATCTGAGTACACAGTAGTTTTTGCCATTGGGTTTTACTCATAGCTACTGTAGAAGTCAACTGACTGATCGATGGAGCTGCTTGATTTCTTTTTCTTTTTTTTCTTTTTTTTTACATGCAGGATCTCACACTTAAACACGGCTGGAGAACGGGCGCCATCATTCCCGAGCTGCGGAAAGAGATCAAGATCATGAACACGGAGCAGTATGTGCACATGATGTCCTGGCTACAGGCACTGACTGGACTTATTGAACAGATGCAGGTGAAGATGATTGAGAAAACTCTAATGTACGGATTCTGTTTTGGTCTCATTAGTCTCTGTACTTACCTTGCATGCCCTCATCCCAAACAGGTTCACCGAGACCCAGCCTCCCGGGCGGTTGTTGAGGAGTGGATTAGAGAGAGGGAAGCCATGAGGTAATGGAGATAAGCAGCATTATAAAAGCTCTTCAGCTACAAATCTCCCCGGAGATTTAATCTGCCCATATGCCGTTATTAATATTTCAGGTCAAAAATAAAAGACGTGCACGTTTGTTTCAAACACAGGCCACAGACAAAAGACATCTTCAACACTCAGTTTGGGAGTCTCTTCCGGACCTATCACAACCCAACGTATTTCTCGCGCCGCCTGTCCCGCTTCGCTGACATCTACATGGCGTCCATCAGCTGCCTGCTCAACTACGACTTCCAGCACACCTTTTTTCCCCGCCGCAATCCCCTGCAGCACGAATCTCCCTTCTGTCCTGAACACGTCCCCGCCGGGCCCCGTGTGGACCCAGAGCTCCGCAGCTGAGTCCGACTGACGAGGCCGTTTTATTCACTTTACTCATTTAAGCAAGTTTTACTTTTTGTCCAACCGCATGACATGTTTTAGTTTCTATTCAATGACACAGTCAACTGTTGAGCTCGAAATACAAATGACACACAACCTTCGTGAAGACAACTTTCACGAGTTCATCTAAATGAAGAAAATTTGATGCACTGACTTGGACTGGTTTACGTGTGTGTGTGTGTGTGTGTTTGTGTGACATATTTGTGCAGCTGAAACGATGGGAAACGTCAGAACGTCACAAAACATCACATTCTGCACGTATATATTTTTTTAACCTTAATTCTGTAAAAAAAAAAAAAAA